GCTGCTGAAATTCCCGTGGTATTTTGGGTTGCCCACACACACACACACGAAACAGCGTCTGGAATCAAACAAACATGAAAAAACGTGAAGAAGCAGCCTACACTGCGATGTGGTGCTGCGCCAAGCAATCAACACGAGCCAAAGCGGATTGGTTAGCGAACAGCTGAAGACTGGCTGAAGATTGGTATCAAGCGCTTCCAGATTGCTGATGCTTCCCACCCCCCACGGCCCGAAGTCCACTAAAAATGTCCCACGACTGGTTTCCTGCGATGCTCCCCAAAAGCAAATGCAAGGAGCCTCCGACCAAAGCTACTTGGCATGACAATGAATGCAATTTGGTTCGGATCACCAGCCGGAATGGGCACATCAGCAAAAACGGGGTTGACCGTTCCTCCCCAGTGCGCTGGCTGCCCGCACATGTGATTCACGGCTCGACTCAGCGTCCAACGGCAGCATCCAAGGAATTTGCCCAGAGCATCCTGCAACGGGATGGTGGCAGCTGTCCACATGTGAAATGTAGACTGGCTCAGACGCGACAACTTCGAGTATCCCAGTGTCCACGATCCACCCAAGCGAAGAAAGGAGAAGACCTGCGAAGAACAGGCAAAGAAGCCCAATCCCTGCGGAGCATGCAAGCTGCAAGCAGCTGCAAGCAGCCTGGCTTTCGAGCATCGCTTCCATCAGCAGGACCTCTCCGTGCACTGAGAGCCGGCCTGAGCATCGACTCTGGGCTCCAAATGCTCCACACAACCTTCCCAGAATCACTGAACTGGAAACCAAGATCCTGACAGTGGGGCCACTCCTGCACTGCCTCCGTCGCAACAGCACATCATGGCTCCATCTGCACGATGTCTCTGCATCGAATCTGTCGTCAGAACCTGTTGCCTGCAGTGGGAGGGGGTCTCGCGCATCCGCCTCGTCCAGCTGCGACGGCATGATCTCCTCAACATGGCCCCGCTTGCCCCTACTCGCCAAGACTGGAACTGGGCAACCGAGTCCTGCAAAGCTCGAAGACGCAATAGATCAATCCCAAGCCTTGTCGTAACAGTGCTCAGTGATGCCTGGCACAAATGGGCAAATTGGAAACAAGGGAAAGGTGAAGGAAGGCACAGAAGCAACGTATCACAGATGCGATTTATTGAACTGGTCCTAAGTGAAAGCTTCAACAACACATCCAATATGGGGTAGTTGTGTTGCCTCCACCGCCAAGTGCAAGGGAGTGTAGAAGCAAAGCTGGGTGAATGCCTCTGGCTAGGAGGCATACAGCTGGATGTAAACTGATGTAAACTGTGCCAACTCATGACTGAAATTATCCTGATGCTCTGAGACATGAAACTTGGTTGACGTACCTGGACCTGAAGCCCTACAGGCTCAGAGCTGCACGAAGGTCACCAGCATTGCTCGATGAGCCTGAAGGAAAGTGCCGCCGGGTCTTCACGGTCGCAGAGTGTCGCACGCTGCCGCACAACTGCATGCTCCGCCCTGTGCCCTGTGCCTGTGTCTCCGTCAGCTCCAGGTCCCTCAATTTGGCAGTGCCAAATGCCAAACTGGAGCTTCGATTCCATCAGTGTCACATCACAACGACTTTGGCAGCGGCCTCAGCAAATTCGCCAAGCTCTGGACAAGCTCGGCGGCGGTGGTACTGCGAGACGGGCCACACAAAAACTCCCAAGGCTAGGCTTATCGACATAACAGCCTTCCCCGACTCCTGCACATTGCCTGAACCCCAACGCCGAACTTCCACGACAATCAGATTCCTTGGATACTGCTGGAGAATGGATCTGCGCAGAGGAACCGCATGGAAGTGGATGACCTTGGATTCATGCCATAGCAGGACTGCGAGCGCTGCAGATGAGAAGCTGAGACTTCCGCTTCTGCTTCTGCTTCAACTTCAAGCGGCGGCAGCATCAATGCCTGCAAAACGGCCTGTACGGAAGCCAGGAACACTTTGCCAACAACTTCGCAGCAGCTCAGGCATGCAGCGACAATGCAGCACCAAACCTTTTTGAAATGCCCCTTCCCAGGATACAAGCAATCAAGGCCACATAAAGGAAAATGCCTCTTGCCGACATGTTCGACGATATCATTCGTCTCGAATGAACGACATGCTCGAGCGCCAAGAGTAGTCGCAAAGCTTGCCCATCTGAAGCTACGGCCTGTACAGTGATATCTCTGGACTCGTGCATGTCTTCAGTGGCGTTACTTGCTGCTGTGGACAGCAAGCCCCCGCATCCCCACCAAAGCTCGCCGCGATGTGTATGCACGGAGCATTACATCCAGAAACAGCGTGGTTCATCCTTTCACTGATTCTCCGGATGGTCACCTGTACTGTCACCTGTTGTGGCCCCGTCTCACGCGCGCGACCGAGCTGGAAGAAGTGCTGCCACGTTGGACAGCGCTGCACTAACTATCGCCAACTGCGGAGTATCAGAGATACCTCCTGTCCAGTAGCGTCTCGGGCACTGCCCGAGCTGCGCGTTGTCACATGTTGTCACGTGTCGAACGCCGAACAGCGCGGCACCATCACCCTGAAGCGGAGAGCCACCATGCCCCTTCCGCCTCAGGCTGGATTCGCCATGCCGGGCTATGCTTCGCTTACTTAATCTGAGACTCCCACTGGGCCATCCCAAAGAAGTTCATGAGACCCGAAGGAGACGTCGACGAAACCGGATACAGCGGATCCAATCACGAAGCTTGGCTTTCGGAAGGCCTTGCCGAGGCAACAGAAAGAGTCATGGCCAACTATGCCGAATGTTCAGCTTAGCACAATATCTGGCCTGGACATCTCGTTGCTGCCGCCACTGCTGCCCGTGGTATCTGCGCCCTCCCCATTCTTGGGCGGATCTTCCTTGCCATTTAGCAATTCTTGATGGTGCTTGTGCACCATTTCCTCCTGGCAACATTAGCATCATATCTCGGCTTCGCACACATCCGCACGAATATGATGTTGCTGTGAGACGCGTGAGCGAGCTCCTCCAGTGTTTCACGCACATAGAACCGGTACCTGCAACTTCGAGGGCGGCAAGCAAACACCTCGCGTGTCTAGTGTGCAAAGGTGGCCTTTCACCCTAGCCACCCGAGCCCGTGCGATGCTGCCACCCCGGGCCCGAAATCGTGGCAGACAAGGGACACATGAACGTCGTGCTTCTGGCCCTGTCGCCTCACTCGGCCAATCGCCTGGGTAGGAGGCAACGTCGGCACAGTAAGGCCGCTCTTGAGGTCAACCCTGCCTGGCGCTCGAAGCTCAAGGCAGCATCCCGGCTCTCGGCAGCCATCGGGTGAACCAGCAGCAGGTGGTGGCAGCCTCAGCCAGATTCCACCCGCAGGGAGGTGTGCAAGCTCTGTGAGCTTTAGATGCCTTGGACGACACCTGAGGCTGGAACAGACCAGGTTCATGCCAGATGGACTTCTTTCTAGCGAGAGCAATAAGATCTCGTTCTCCTTCCTTAGCAACGATGAGGAGCATTGCGTGGATGTTAATGCACCAGGCGGCGTAGTTTCAAGCACCAACTTTAACCATACCAAAAACGATCAAAGGACATTCACAAAATTATGCGAGGTTATCTCTGTCTTCTCTCTCCTTGGTCAGGGAACGTGACATCCTCTGTCCAAGTGGCCCTTCGGCGTGGAAGCGCCGAATCACCCGCCGCCGCTCAAAGACCGTCCCCTTCAAGGTCAGGCACGGCATGTCGAGCTCCGCGAGGGCGTGCTCCATCTTCCTTGCGTGAAACACGACGGAGTCCTTTGAAACTGAAACCAGCTTGGTACAGATCTCACACCGTTCCGGGTGCACTGAAGAAAAAAAGCCCGGAAGAGATTAGAAAGAAGGCATGCCTCAGCGGAACCCTTGTGTCGCTGCGAACATGTTGGCTTAAATGCCGTTACCGAAGGCTTCGTGATCTGGCTGACCGAAATGTCGGGAGCTGCACAAGATGCTTGACGGGTCCGTGCTGGAGGAGAGAACTACACCGCTCAGAATGCCATGAGCCTTCCCAAGGCACGCAGCGTGGGAAGCTTGGCAGTGTCAGCGTTTGCACCGCACCGTGCATAGCTGTTCAAGCGAGACTCTTCAACAAGACCTCAAACTGAACAAAGATGATGATCTTCGCCCCGGGTTCGCTTCTCCAGATGCTATTGAGCTGGGTGCACACAGCCTGCCAAAAAACTTGTGACAGACCGTGGGCAAGCGGTGGACGGCCACTTTTCGCGGACCCCCCGTGAGCCGTGCGCCACGCCTCGATCTTGGATCCAAAGCGCGCAATGCGGCCCTTGGAGGCGGCTTCCTGCAAGGAAAATGTGCTCATGGCCAAGGCGTCGCACACGATATGTGAAGCGAGTCACAAAGCTTAAACAAGCCACATAGAAACTTCAGTCAAAAGGCCGGCTTTTTCCGGAATATGTGCGGAACTCGACTTTATGTCCCTGCCCTTGCTACATGCAGGCCTTCTGCCGTGACAGCACATCTTCTGCTGAAGCCACCCCGGCAGGCAGCTGTAGCTGCGTGTTGCAGGTGGGGCACTTGCCCCGCTTGCCTAGCCAACCTGAAAACACCAAGAGAAGCCAAGACAGTCCCAGTCTTTAAAATCGCCTCGCACAGTCAGGCCGGGGAACTGATGATGCATTCCTTGCCTCGGCTGTGCGGGACCGAGTCTGCTGCGTGGCGTGCTCGAAAAACAACACTATCTTTGACTGCGTGCGCCCGAAGTTACAGAAGAGGTGGCCGCAGGCTGTCACTTGACAATCTCGCGTCTCGATAGTGCCCAGGCAGATTGGACAGTCGAGATTGTCCTGCCCAGCATGCAGACGCAAGCCGCTGGGCCAAATCTCTGAAGCAGCCGGAGAATGACGGCCTGCTCCAACTTCTCCAAGTGCTGAAGAACCTCCTCGAAGTATTTCACGCGGCTCTCCAGCAGGCGCTCTTTCTCGCGTTGTGCGGGCTGTGCATCCAGGAGACGCTTCAGCTTGGCCTCCATGACTCATAGGAGACATGCGCGCACAAGATCTCCAGTCGCGGCCTTGCGCTTCTTGAGGTCCTCCTCATCTCGCGCAGCTGGGAAGCCTTGAGATTCTTCGGTCTGGAGCCGGTGGATTTCATCTTCGGCCCTCTCCATGTCCTGAGGACACGCGCACTCCGCAACTCTGTGGTAGCGTTCTGGGGCTAAGCCCTGCACCGAGCGATGCCTTTCCAAGGCACATCGATTGCCTTCGCGAGTGGAGTTGATTGCTGATGCCATGTCCTGGTTCTCGCGCCAGGTTCTGTCGCACCGATGTGCCAATTGCAGACGACTTGCTGCATCAGTGCCGTCTGGCGAGAAGTAGTTGCACAACTGAAGAAGTGCCTGGGAGATCACCCAGGTACTCAAGAGAGCACGTGTACCCAAACACGCCGACGCAGTGAATGCGACGTCACGCTACGTGGCAAAATACGGCAGAAAGCTGTGCACATCCAGCGGTTACCCTGGACGCCTGGAAGTTGCCCTTGTCAAAGCAAGCATTGAGATACAGCGCTCTCTCGCCACCTCCGCTCGACATACTTGTGCTAGAGTCAAGCTGGCAACATCATCGAATCATGGAAACGTGGCTCGAGCAGTCTCAAATTCCTGTCCGCCGATGCTCTCTCTGCGGAGACATGCCAATCAAAGCGCATGTTCATGTCATTCCAATCTCGCGCTTTCTCGGCTTGAACACTCTGTACACACCCACACACAAACACAATGGAAAACCAGCATGGTGCCTGCCTGTGGGACGGACGGGGATCAGGTGATACCTGATCGGTATTCCAGAAACATCGAGGCCATTGGAGCGGAGGTATTCGTCAAGGTAATGCCTTGGCTCATCTGGCATCCGCTCCGGAGTCCTATTTTTTCGACGAGCTCTCAGTCCAGAGCTGCGCTTCCAGATCACTGTCTCGGGGCACGAAGACGCGGTGGAAACTAGCCTGCGGCTGCGAAGGCTGATAAGGCTGATATTGGACGGCTCAGCACGTTGTACCTTTGCACGACACAATTCACAAGTAGCAGACCAGGCGCCAGGAAGGAAATTTCCGCAGCACTGTTCGTTGGAGGAGTCGCCGTCAGACCCCAGCGGCTTCGTGCCTCTAGCCCATCCAGATTGTGAAACCTGAAGCTTGAGCACGCGAGACTCAGCAGACTGTCGGCATGGTGCGGGTAAATGCATGCAGGAAGCAGACTCCTTGCATCACCGGACAAGGCCCGCCAGCCCATTCCCAGGCCTGGCCCCTCTTGGCGGAGGCCAGCGGCATCCCGCAGCACCTGGGATGCCCCCTACAGAAGCGAATGTTTCTGAGATCGTCACACGCACTCACTCTTGCACACACGAGCTGTCCTGCTGCACGCAGGACACAGAGAGCACACGCTGGCCGATCCCGTTCTGCTGCACATGCGAGAGCGCGCGCATGTGCACGCTATTTGGTGCACCCCATTTCTGGAAAGTCCAACTACGCTCGACTTCGGCCCTTTGGCTTCCAAAGCACACGAAGCGGCTCGTGAAGCTCGTCGACCACCAAGCCTTGGTTGCAGAGCTCAAATGGTAGGCGAGTCAGTATCTTAGTTCCCAAGACCTCGACAGAGTCAGCCAGCCTAGCCCTTGCTGAGCTGTGGAAGGAGGCACTAGCTGAGGCGCAAGCGGTGCCAGAAGAAGATCTCGAGGGGAGGCGCAGTGAGATCTTTCAAATCCTCCGGAAACGCCCACCAAGGCCCGAATCGGCGTAAACTTCCCCGTGGCCGCCCGGCCTGGCCCAGCTCCAGCAGCTGCCTCGTGCGCTCAAGGAGGCCCTCTCGGCGCCGGCAGAAGCGCTCGGCCGTGGCCTCGCATCGCCTCAGGAGGGCCAGGAGAAGAACGCGATCCCACGGGCAGGAAACCTTTGGCAAGCGGCTTGGTCTCAACTTTCTCCTCAGGTCCACTGC